TTGCAAACGCATGCTCTCCAGGCGTGCCAAGGTAGCTACACGATAATACCAGCTGGCACTTCCAAAAAATACCTCAGCCGCCAGCCTTCCCGGGAGGCCATGGCGTCGGCGAAGAACTGAGAGGGGCCAGTCCCAGAGCTGACGCTGCGCACTGGTGGTGCCTTGGCCAGCTGGTTCTGCAGCCAGAGGAATTCTTCCTGGTCAAACGAGCTGATCTCCCTGAAGTAATCCTGCAAAAGATGCGTCTTGTCTTTCAAATCCGTCGCTCCCCCTTGCGGGGAGGGGCACCAGGCTGTGAGGTGCAGGCTTTGATAACTGGCAGGCGTTGTTCTTGACAGAGTACTTTGGCAGCAGCCCGCATCGCAGTACTCCTAGCAGCCCAACAGTAAAGCAGCTCTGGCGACTTGAAATCCAAGCGAGGATCGCATTGCAATTCCCATCATGCGATGAATCCACGCTCCCACAACCACGATCACTTAAAGATACGATTGGTCCAGGCTCGCGAGGCCTGCGCTCTAGCAGCTACGAACCCTAGTAAGATACGACAGAGCCTCGCTCTCGCAGATAACGCTTCATTGCAAAATCCACCCATGGATCCGCGATCCTCGGGCCACGATGCCTCGTGATCGGCGCTCCCGTCTCCGTGGTCCCCAGACTTCGCCGACACCTTGGGGTCCACTCGGCATGCGAGCGACGTCAAAACGGGTGTCACGCGGGATGGCATAGCGACCGTGCGCCGCAGCTCGCGCGGGCCGCCCGCCCGGCACGCTACAGTGGAAACGAGGGCGCTCACGCGAGACCTCGCGCGGGCAGCGTACGCGCCAACGTCGGCGAAGACGACCCCGCCTTCCTCCGCAGCTCGTGTAAGACTCTGGCCACGCCCCGATGCCCTCCCCCCTGGGGCCCGGCCGGCCGGTTTTGAGGGCGGGGCGTCTGGCCAGAGCTCTGGCGGCCCCGGCTGCTCTGGAAACACTCCCAGAGGGGCCTCCGACGCCCTCGACACGGCCCAGGGACACCCAAAGACGGCTCGCCAAAACTCCCACGTGGGCCCGTACTCCCGGAAGCTCCGAGGGGACACCCACCACGGCCCCTACGAGGAACAGTCGTCCCACACACACGTGAGAAAACGTGTACTTGCACCATGTTCGCCCTAATCGCCCTCACAGCGTTCAAGACGGCAAATAAGCGTCCACGATTGCGCCACGACCGCGAGAGAGGCCCCGAAGAAGGGCCCCCAGGCTCTCGAGAGGGCCCCAAGACTGCCCGAGGTGAAGGAGGAGGCGAAACGAGCGAGCGCAACAGACAGATTGCCAATGCGATCGTCACCAGAAGGCAGGGGGCTCCCTGCCGTCCACCGAGAGGGCGCCCGAGTCCCGCCCGCGGTCCTGCTGCCCAGGGCGCGCTGCTCGCCGAGACGGCCCGATAAGCTCCCCCAGGAGACGCCCGTAACGGCCTCACAGACGCTCCCAGAACGGCTTCCGAGGGCGCCAGACGGCACCAGGGCGTCCGACGACGGCTCCAGACGCCCCAAAGAGGCTCCCGAGGCTCCCAGGGAGCTCCAGAGGGAGCCCCAAAATACACACTCCCTCAAAGGTTTGCCAGAATCGTCCGAGATCCCCCCAATGCCCCGAGGAGGCCCCCAACGGGTCGGCGGTGCGGCGAAAGCCATGGAATCTACGTCCGGAAGTGACTCGCTGCCAGAGGCAGATCTGCGGGGACGATGCTGCAACGTATCTTACATATCCAATGGATGGATATCTGCCATGTATGCCATTATTACATACTTGCTACATATTGTACTGTGTTACATTATTACGCATCCCCCCTCCTACCCCTATCCCCCACCAGAGTCGCGCCAGATGTGCGTACAAATCCAACGCCCCTCATTCTGGGGCCCGAGAAGATACCAAACCGATGGAAAAATTCTAATGTCGGCATCTTGTGCCTCTTGCACGTTCCGAGGCGGCCTCAAGACGGCTCAAAACTTGTTCAAGACTGCCCAAGATGGCTCCAAGACGGCCCAAGATGGCCCCAAGAGGGCCAAAGTTGCTCTCAACGCGGCTCATCAAGGCCCCAAGAGGACCCCAAGAGAACCTCCAGAAGCCAAAAGCATTGATGCCCTTTGAGCTTTTGACGGATTTTAGCGTTCTCGCCTGTTTCAATCCCAGAAGGCCCTGACGGCCAAAGCAGGATCCAAAATGGCCCCAAGAGGACCCAAGAAGCCCGCAAGAAGGCCTCAAGACGGCCCAAGAAGGCCCAAAAACGCCCCAAAGAGGCCCCCAAAACGGCTTAAGAGGCCCCCAAGACGGCCCAAGAGGCCTCCAAGAGAGCCCCCAGGCGGCCGCGAGAGGACCAGAGGACGCGGCAACCGAAGGGGCCAGACTCCAGACGGCGCAAGAGCGCCCCGGGACGGCCCAAGACGCCCCCAAGAGGCGCCAAGAGGTCCCAAAGAAGCCCCAAGAGACCCCAAGACGGCCCAAGATGGCCCCAAGGGGCCAAAGGGGCCAAAGGGGCCAAAGGGGCCAAAGGGGCCCTCAACGCTCCAAGAAGACCCCCCAAGAGCGCCTCCAGAAGCCAAAAGCATTGATGCCCATTTAGTTGTTGACGGATTTTAGCGTTCTCGCCTGTTTCAACTGTCAAAAACCCATGACGGCCCAAGCAGGCTCCAAAATGGCCCCAAGAGGGACCAAGAAGCCCGCAAGAAGGCCCAGAGACGGCCCAAGAGGGCCCCAAGATGCCCCAAAGAGGCCCCCAAAACGGCGCAAGAGGCCCCCAAGACGGCCCAAGAGGCCTCCAAGAAAGCCCCCAGGCGGCCGCGAGAGGCACACAGGACGCGGCCTCCGAAGGGGTCCGACGGCGCAAGACCGCCCCAAGACGGCCCAAGACGCCCCCGAGAGGCCCCAAAGAAGCCCTCAAGAGACCCCAAGAAATCACATACAGGCCCCAAGAAGCCCCCCAGGGCCTCCAAGAAGCCACAAAAAGGCCCCCACCAGGCCCCACAACGACTGGACTGCACGTGCTCTGGGCGGAATGCCCCAGCTCGGCATATCCCTCCCTCTGGTTTTGTTGTTACTGTTCGCTCTCTCTCTCTCTCTCTCTCTCGTTTCCCTCTCTCTCTAACTTGTTGTTTCTCTCTCTCTCTCTCTCTTTCTCTTTCTCTTTTTCTCGTTATATGTTGTTGTTTTCTCTCTCTCTCTCTCCTTCTCTTCCTACGCACGCCACCCCGCCGTGACAGGGCGACGACGCGGGGCAGGTGGAGTCCTCAGGATGTTCAAACCCACGCGCTGCACGCAAGCACGCAAGCATCGATCCAATAATATATATATATATATATATATATATATATATATATATATATATATATATATATATATATATATATATATATATATCTATATATATATATATATATATATATTACAAAAGTCGCGCAGAGGCCAGGCCAGGCGAAACACGCGAGTGAACGGCAGGCGCGTGCACCGTACAAAACGTTCCTAAATACGGGGCGCGCCCCTGCTGGGCAATGGCCCCGCGGTAAAAGGTGGCGCGCGGAAGGCCATAGGAGTTGTTCCCAAGGGCGCTCCTCTAGGCTTCGGCGTCGTCGTTTCCAAAGCAGCACTCAACGCTCGTTCGCGTCCGTTGTGGCTGCGATGTTTGCGGTCCCTCTGTTTGTCTGAGGGCGGCGGGCGCCAGCCACAACGCTTGTCCAAATCGAATAATTCCTCTCTGCCTGAGCAGTCGCCCCCCACAAGATCCGGGACGTCTTTAACAAGGCAGGTGTTCAACCACAGGTCTGTCTCCGAAACAAGTGCGACATCGCCTTGCACCTTGCAGACCTCGCGCAAGAGGTCACCGAGCTGGGCGCCCCGGGACGCCTGCACCTCGAAACTATCCCTAAAGAGCGGACTGAGGCACTGGGCGATGAAACCAGCGTCGTCCGAGCCGTCAATCGTGACCCGAATGGCTCTAAATGGGGAAAGGCGCACTGGCGGTGCAACAAATGCAATCGCAGGCGGCAGCCGTGCGTCGCGTTTGGCCTTTTTTCCGTGCGCGCGCATGTCTGGCGACCACCCCCGCAAGCACTCCTGCGTCTACGTCGGCCCGGAAGCGGGCAGATCCAGCCGACCGTGGAACAGCGCAACTGTCCTTGTCGGGTCGCTCGGCCACGGCTTCCGCCCAGAGCTGCTCTGCGAGGCGGCCTGCTTTCCATACCTGTTGAGCCCGGAGGTCCCGTCGCGTCAACTGCCGACCCCATTGCGCCCGGCGCCCCGCGTCGCACCGGCTTGTTGTCTGCGCAAAATACTCGGCGCCGTCCAGCGCGACCGCGCGAGTGACAGCGGCAGCCACCCCTTGGCTGGGCTCGAGCGCCGCGGGCGCACGGCCAGGGCCCGAGGCCGAGGCAAAGGCAGAGACTAAGACAACCCAAAGCATTCCAACTCGAATCGACCGCCAATTAACCCACGGATGGGAGCACCAGCCAAACGGCCCGACAAATACAAGCTCTCGCTGCGACCAAGCGCCTTCGCGAACACGTCTGCGACGCTTTCAACGCCCGGGGAGCGCTCAGGCACGACGCCGCGCTCATGGAGAAACAGCAAGGATACCTCAGCATGCTCCCAAAAATGCATTAACATTTGACTCAACCCTTTCTTGGTGGCGAGTTCCACGACTAGGTTGCCCACGCGCCCGCGAACCTCCACCTGCGTCGGCCGGGTGCACTCGAGAATTGCAGCTAGGCGGAGTGCACGCTTGGCCGTGGCTGCCCACGCAGAGGAGTCGTTCATCCCCGAGCCCGCAGTTGCGATGTCCTCGGGTCGAGGTGGAACGCCTGCTTCGCAGACGCGGCGGTCAATCGGGCCACGCAGCCCGATGAACGGAGCGCATCTCCCACCTGCGATTGCGTGCGGCCGCAGAGCCCTACGGGGCGAACATGACACGCATGACGGTCCAGATCGTAGATCAACGTTTCTTCTGCGCGTCGAGCTCGCAGCCGCCCACATAGGTAACCACCACGCCGCAACACTTTGAACCACGACGTTGGCGGCGCCGCGGCGGCCCCGTCTCCAGGGCCACATCGCGCCGCGAGCGGGGAGGCGAGCAATCATCGCAGACGGCAGAAGAGTTTCGACTAGCAGCTGGTTCAGAAGCGACACAAGACTCGAGTGTCATAGAGCACTTGAGAACACCGCGCTCCAAGGCGCCACGCAAACAAAAGAGCACAGCAAGATCCTCCTCCATCGACTGGCAAGCGTTCCAAACCAACCA